CTCTGAAGTCATTTGCTACTAACCTCTGTAAAGTCCTTCATTAAACTGAAAGTTCCTGGAGGGCGGGGACATTCACATCTGCTCCCGCAGCCCCCAGCGCAGGGCCGGACACATAGCAGATTCTCCATAAATGTTTAAAAAAGCAAGTGGGTTTCCCCAGCTGAGCACCAAAGCTAGGCCCTGGTGGGCAGGATCAAGAGAGTGTTGTCTCTGAGCTGTGCTCCCGGAGAGAAGAGGGAGCGGGGTGCCCAGCCTGCCCCACGCCCTGGCTGCACAGCCAGCGCTGCCGTCACCTCGCTCTTCCAGCTGAATGATGGCCGTGCCCGGCCCGAAGCTGTTCCAGGCGGTGCAGTTGTAGTGGGTCTGGAAGTCGGCCTCCATGACGTTGTTGATGGTGAGCGTGGACAGGACCCCGCTGCCCGAGTTGGTCCTCTCCACCGTGTAGCGTTCCAGGGTCCCCACCTCCAGGAAGTTCTCCTTCCATGCCCATGCCTGGGGTGGGTGGGGAGGGCGGGACAGGGTGAGGAAAGGCAGGTGGAGGAAAGTCCTGGCTCACCCTCGAGGCACCCTCGCATCCTCACCCCGTGTGCCCTGACGCCCAGCCCCATGCTCGCCCTGCAGCAGGCCCCTGTCACAGCTGCTGCCCCAGTCCTGGCACCGAGCCTCCAGTCTAGAAGCAGAGGCTCCCAAACATGCCTGAGACGTGTGCCAGATACACCCAGCGACACTTAAACATGCAGATTCCGGCGGGGGGGGGGGCGGGCTTATCTCCTAAATATGACCCTCCAGGGGGCTGGCCCAGGAATCTCTTTTCCTGTCACAATGCCAGCTGATCCAAGGAACCAACATGTGGGAACCCCCAATGTGGCAAAACAGGTCCTGGATGGAGAGCCAGGATCTAAGCCTGGTTCTCCCCCTGAGCTGTACGGCCTCCCCTCCCCTCCCTGGGCCCCAGCTTCCTCATCTGTGGAAGGAGAGGACGAGGCTGGAGGCAGACGGCTTCCCTCCAGCGCCGACAGTCTGAGAGTCTAACCAAACATAACTCAACTCTTTCACCTTACTTTGAACCACCCCGCAGCCAGCCCTGCCAGAACACGCCCGCTAGCTCTGGCCGCCCATCCACAGACCCTGATAAGGAGTGGGAGTTGTCACAGGAGAGGGGTCTCTCCCAGGCTCCTCCATCCTCTACCCCCACGCTGGGGCATCGCCCCCTTGGGGTCCGCTCCCTCAGAGTGGAGACTGAGGGAGGGGGAGTCGCTGAGAACTGGCTCCTTTCCAGGGATCAGGCCTCCTAGCTCTGCAAGGAGGGCCCCCCGGGAGCCGAGCCGCCTGCTGCCCAGGCGGCCGTGGTAATGAAGTGTCCCTGGGCAGCCCTGGAGTTAGCCAAATGGTCATTAAATGTGATGAGGGGTTTGCCGGTTAATGGTCACGGAAGGAATTAATGGCTCATGGTGTGGGGGGCAGGGGAGGGGGGAGCGGGGAGCGGTGCAGGAGCTGGTGGGAGAAGGAAGGCAGAAGGGAGAGAGTGGACGACGGGTGGGACAGATCCGAGGCGGCACGGTGGAGAGGCAGAGGGCAGTGGGCAGAAGAGGGGGCAAGGAAGAGACGGGGAAGCTGAGGAAAGGGGAGGAGACGAGGGAGAAGGAAGAGTGAGCGTGAAGGCCCAGGGGAACCACCAACGCACCCAGCCAGGGCTCCGCCAGACCTTTCACACCTGTGGTCACTATCACTTCTCACAGTGGCCCTGTTCCGCAGGGATCACTGCCCCCATTCTGTGGATGAGGAAACTGAGGTTCCAAACACTGCGTACGTGGCTCAAGTTCACACAAGTAAGGGAGGAGGTAGCATTTGAGCAGGGAGAGGGCCAGAGGGACAGCAAGTCAGCAGACGAGAAGCACAGGAAAGGCCAGGGGAAACGGGAGGAGCAAAGGCAAAGAAAGTGGGGAATGGAGGGGAGAGGCTGAGCTGAGCAGAGAAGCAGGCTGCTGGCCTCCGGCCTGTCCCCGGACTCACAATGCGGTCTGGGGGGGGCGTGCTCCCGATGAAACACTCCACTTTGCCGCCGTCACCCCTGACGGCGTACTGCACGGCCTCGCTGGAGATAATGGGGGGCCCTGCAAGCAAGGGGATGCGGTCAGGCCCAGCTGGAACCTGCAGCACCTACCCCACCCCACCCCCAGACCCCTGCCCCCCCTCGGGCCACTCACCGTTCACATAAAGTGGCACCTCCCGCTCAGCCACTCCGATCCGAGGCACGATGGCCCGGCAGGTGTAGGTGCCGGCATCTGCCTGGGTCACCGACTTCAGCAGCAGCTGGTTGCTGTTACTCAGGACCTGGGCAGAGAGAGCAGCCTCGGGTGGGGAGCCAGGAGGCCTGGGCCCCTAGGTCCGGGTGGGCCCCCGCATTGGAGGCATTGGAAAGAAAGCAGGAAGGGCCACAAGTGAATGCCCAGAAGGGAAATAGGGTCCCAAGTCTATCTGGTCCGTCCCCTGACTGAACTGCTTCGCATTCAAACACATCATCTCTGTACGAGTGCGCAGAGATAGGGAAGGCTCAAGAGGGCAAGTGAGGCTGTGATCGTTGCACAGAGGACGCAGCCTCTTCTGGTGATCTGTTCAAGTGCTTTTCTGGCCAAATGAGGTAGGAAGTTTGGCTTGGAAATCCCTCTTTCTGCAATTTTTAGCCCAAACTGTCCAATGTAGGTCACTGTAGAGCTGCAGAATTCAGCCTTCTCCTCTCTACTGAATCATCCCAGCTTCCCCAGCCTTGTGTGCAGCATTCATTTACCAGATCTCTTGCTACTGCCGCAGCTCCACTCCGGCCCCCTCTCGTCCTCCCACCCACAGGTCGCCGTGTCCCTCCCACTGCCATTGAACCGGCCAGCTGTCTGCGAGGAGGGTGGGGCTGACTGCAAGCACTGTCCTCCTCCAAACCCCAAGATCCTGGAAATGTCCCAGGTTGAACTTGCACAATGATGCTGCTCGCCTTTGCCCCCTCCCCACTCCCGCCTGAGGCTGGGCTCCCTCCTCCCAGCGATCAGGAGAGGCAGCAAGCATCTTACCATGTTTGAGTCCTTTTTGGTCCAGGTGAGGGTGAGGGGGGGATTCCCAACCCAGACACAGGTGAGGGTCACATCAGAGCCAATGTCTGTGGTCGTGGGTTTGGGGTCAACCACAATCCGGGGGGCAACTGAGGTAGAATGGAACAGCTCTTTAGGGTCTGTCTCACTGGGGCTCAACTCCAATCTTTCTCCTCCTCCTTCTCTGGCCTGTCACTTCCCCACATCCACTCCCCCGTCTCCTCAGCCTCACAGGGCCTCCCCCACTCCAGGGGCCCTTTAAACACCTCCATCCCCATCTCAATTTCTCCTCCTGCAGCTACTCACAGTGGACGTTGACCAGCGTGCTAACATTGGTGCTCCCCACTTTGTTGTGGACCTCACAGGACACAGGCTCCGTGAAGAAGGAGTAATCAACGTTGGTCTCATAGCGACTCTCGTGGGCATCCTCAATCAAGAAGCCGCCCTTGGCCCACCTGGGGGAGGAGGCAACCCCAAGCAGGGGTCAGGCCTTGCGGGTGCCTCCCCGCAGCTAGTGGCCTGCCCTGCCCAGCAGCCCCCACTCCTGGCCCCCCTCTCCCACCTGTAGCCCAGGATCTCGGGGTTGGCTGTGGCCTGGCACGTGAAGACGACACGCTCGCCCTCCTGCACTGTCTGTGGCTCAATGGACAGGGTCACCGTAGGAGGGTCTGCAAAGTGGAGGACAGGAAGTCAGGGTCTCTTCTGTCCCTCGGGTTTCTTTTTCTCTCCCTAGCGCATACACTGAGACCTCACCCCTGCGTGAGGACCTGGGGATTTAAGTTTGCAGTGTACCTGTTCCAATCAATAAGCCATCTTCTTCACCTTTATTCCAGGAGCCTCTAGGCTAGGGTGATGACCAAGGATACAGAAGACAAATTAGCCAGTGGATGTAACGACCAACTGTGGCCACTAGGCGTCAGTGTGGGCTTGCTAGGCTCACCAAAAGGGCTGGGGGTGGGGCATCTCTCCAATGGCTGCCCACCCTCCCCCCTCCACCGCCCGGCAGTGGGAATTTATTGAACACTTACCAAGTAGCATTCTCCATGCTATATGCTTTTCCACTATATCTCACTTAATGCTCACAACCCTGAGAAGCAGGTACAGGTCCACAATCCCTTATCTGAAACCCTTGCAACTAGATGTGCTTCAGAATTTGGAATTTTTCTAATGTTAGAAAGGTAATGGCTTGGGGGGAGGGTGCAGCTCAGTGGTAGAGCACGTGCTTAGCATGCACGAGGTCCTGGGTTCAATCTTCAGTGCCTCCATTAACAAAAATATAAAGAAAGGTAATGGTGTGCATAGACCGTTTACTCTGCCTGACCCCCAGCAGAGTCTGGGCAGCGTCCCGTAGTCACATGCATCAGTACATCTGCAGTGAAAGGTATGGCTATTCAGACTAAGTGGGTTAAATAAAAGATTCTGAAAAGCCCAAGTTCAGGTTTTGCCAACAAATCACTTTTGGTTTGGGACTTCCAATAAGGGACTGTAGACCTGCATTTTATTTTCTACACATATTCAGAATTAGAAACTGAGGCTCAGGGGGATTAAAGCCCTGCCCAAAGTCACCTGCTGGTTTAAACCCAGGAACTGCCTGGCTCACAGCTGATGCCTCTTCTACCAGCCCTCAGTGCACCCGGTTCAAACCAGAGCATCCCAGAGGAGGGAGAAATGCAGCATCCGTCCTGGGGCCCCAGGGGGACTCTCCTGTGCTTCTCAAAAGGTGCCCACCTCCCCCGCTCCTCCCCAGGACCCTGCTCACGGTGCACGTCGAGCTCGATGGACGTCTCCTTGCCACTCGGGATGGCCTCGTTCACGCTGCGGCAGGTGAAGACGCGCCCAATGTCCAGGTCTGTGGGGTTAATGAGCAGCTGGCTGACGGTGGTCTCCCTCTTCCCGTCCTTCAGCAGCTCCTGGGTGGGGAGGGGCCAGGCACAGTCAAGCTCCTCTGCTCTCGGGGACACCCAGTTGGAGCCGGGCTTGCTGGAGGGGGCTTTAAACCTGAAGCTCAGCCCCTCCCCCAGCCCCTGCCTCCTCCCCAGGTTGGGTTCAGTTTGGTTTTCAATTAATACACTGTATTTTTAAGAGAAGTTTTAAATTAACAGAAAAATTGAATAGAAAATATAGAGTTCCCATATAGCCACCTCCCTGACCCCACAGTTTCCCTAATTATTAATTAATATGATGCACGAGCGTAATACAGGTGTTACAACTGATGTACCAATACTGATACGTTACTACTCACTAAACTCCGTATTTACGTTAGAGTTCACTCTCTGTGTTGTACAGTTTTCCCTATGGCTTTGAGCCTCATTCCTGGAATTCTCTGAGCCCAGCCCGAGTCCCTCCTCTTCTGGCAAGTCTGCTTTTGCTCTCAGGACTCTCCCCCAGCCTGAACCTGTGCCCCTCGCAGCCGGTCTGTCCTGCACAGCGACCTGTGCACATCTGGCCTTGTCTCTTAGGCACCGTGTGTGCATCAGTACCGGGTCTCTCCTGCTAGACTGTAAACTCCTCGAGGGCACGGAAGGGACTCACTGGCTCAGTGAGATCCAACCTGAGGTCCCTGGGGATGGTCACAGGGACCCTTGGGCTGTTTTCTGTACTGCACGCTACCTAAGGGAAGCCACACTATCAGGCAAAGTAGAGCCTCACGATTTGACAGCCACACACGCATCCTTGCTGGACCTGATGCGGTAGTGGAACAGTACCAGCCTGGTGCAGGAACACCAGCCCCCTTGGCCTGCTTCGAAGCCCCATCGCCTTTAATTAATTTAAAAAAGAGGGTGGATGACAAATGACCATTAACAAATCAGCTTGTTTGGTTGCCAAAATATTTCAAAACGTGTAGCCCTAGAGGAGAAAAATAACACAGTTCTTGGTGGTGAAAAGGTTAAGCACCACCGAGGCCAAATTCTCGTTTGTCGAATGGTGACCCTAAGGCCAGCGAGGAGTGGACGGTCCAAGGTCATGCAGAGCTACTGTAGGTACTCCCTGGGGCCACACTCCAAGGCACCCAGGTGAGCCGTCTCTCCCCTCAATGAGCAGGGTCTCCTGCAGTTTGCTGGCTGCACATGTATTTGTCCGCTGTGGGCAGGGGCAGGAGGAACTCCAAACAGGCGATCTGAATTCTAATTCCAGCTCTGCAGTCAACTTTGCCGTGTGGTCCTGGGCAAGTCACCTGATGTCTTTCTCAGCCAGAGGGTCCTCATCGCTAAGATGCACACATGATCCCTGCCTCACCGACCTCTCAGTCATGCCGACTGGGATCATGTACCAACTAGGGGCTGAGGGAGGAAGGTCGAGGGGCTCAGCAGAGAGAGACCACGTTCTGACCCAGGTATAAACCAGCTGTGCTGCGGGTCAGCTGTGTGACCTCGGGCAAGTCACTCAACCTCTCTGACCATCGGTTTACTCTTGGTGAGCTGGAAATAAGCTCATTTATGAAGCTCCCATGAGGATTAAGACAGACTGTCCATAACGAGCTTAGCATGCACAGTGCCTGGTACACAGTAGGTGCTTAATCAGTGTAGTTCTTGTCACTATTATTCTTCATCTCTGCCAAGTACTGAAGGGTGCTGTGAACCTGGGAATTCACTTCTCCTCTCCGAACCTCAACTTTCCCAACTGTTTATTGGGAGGATTGGACCTGATGACCTCTAGGGCCTCCTTTCCCATGGGTGACCCCTGAGTCCATCCATGGGGAAAAGGAAAGGTGACCTGAGATGAGGCCCAGGAGGGGCTGGGGGAGCAGGCAGGGTCTCACCGTGCTGGCTACAGCCCCCTCCTGCTGTGTCCCATCCCGGAACCAGATGATGGTGGCGGCGGGCTTGGCGTTGAAGGCGCGGCACGTGAGGTTGTGGGGTGTGCCCGCCTGCAGCAGAATCACAGGACCGCCATCAATCCTGGTGTCCTCCGGGGGGACTGTGGGGAAGAGCAAAGTCAGTCCAGGGTGCAGCCAACACTGTCCTGATGACCAAAACCCCTGCCCCTGGAGGGATCCCTCCGACTGCATGTCCACCCCTTGGCGGGGCAGTGCCATCCTCACCCCCTAACTTATGATCACCGTATCTGTCGCTCCTGTGGCCTGGGGGGCCTGGCACAGAAAGGTGGCTAGCTCCTCAGAGCTTCTTACATCCCCTCCCTCCTGTCTGGGGCAGCCGGACGAGTGGGTCTATTATAGCAACGTCCCACGTGGACTCCCTGCCTTCAGCCCCTGCTGGCCCCAACCCACCCATCCCTGCTGGCAGGCTATTTTCCCTCTAGCGCCGCTAAGACTGTGCCTCCTCCCTGCTCAGACACCTTCCATGTCTACCAGCCTCCCCGGCCACCAGCTGCAGAGCACCTCCGCCTGCTGTCCAGGACTCGCCAGGCCAAGGCCTGTGCTTTCCCACCTCCTCGTCTTGTTTCTACTGCTCTTCTCAGAGCTCCTGCTGAACCGCTGTCCATCCTGTTCACGTCCCAGCCGCTGCGCGGGGCCTCTCCTGCCACGTCCCCCTCAACCACCCGCTCGGTGGCTCCCAGGGGAACTCGGAGCTCCGAACACCATCGACCTTGTATGTGGGTTACTTATGATTATCCATGCCCCCCTCCAACAAAACTGTCATCCATGGAAAAGCAGGGACACTGTCTCGCTAATATTCCATCTCCAGTGCCTAGAATGTGGCCAAAGTAGGCTCCTGCTAAATCTGGGAACTGACCAATCGGATGTCTGAGACGAGGAAATGGCGAGCCTCCCTCTGGCCCGGCCCCACAGGCTCCTGAATGCCCAGGGAGCCGGACTGCAAGTTCCCCGAGGCCAGGGGCTGCTCATTCTCTCTTAAAGCTCCAAGGTCTAGTGCAGAAGGTGGTGGATGGCATGTCCTTGGGAACGTTAGCTGAATTACTAAGTCACTGATGAGATAAGGCCGAAGGATTTTGATTGTAATTTTGAGTTCTGGTCCGCCTCGTGTTCCTCAGGCCGGCCATGTGAAAGGGTTTTGTTTGCTTTTTGCTGGGAAAGGCCCAGAGACTCAGAGGGGGCTCTCTGAGGGAGCCCTTGAGAGGAGACCCCGGGAGGCCTCTGAGTCGAGTGGTGGGTAGGGCTGTCCTAGAGTCTGTGAAGTGGTGGTCTCTCTCCATGCTGGGGTTTCTAGGAGCAAGAAACCACTTGCAGCCCGTCCCAGCGCTCTGCTCGCCTCGTGCGTGCAGAGTGGGAGAGCGGGGTATGCTCGAGAGTTAGGATCAGGCTGCCCTGGAATTAGGTCCGGGCACCTTTAGTGATGCATCACGTGATCTTGGGTGAGGCCCTCAAGAAGGCCAGATGAGGTGCTGTACGCGGACTGTCACGGGAAGGGCATGTGTGACGTGTGCAGCGTGTCCACTTTACTGCTCGGAAAAGAGCCAGCAGCGCCTCCGCTCCCACCCTGCTGGGGAGTGACCCCTGAACCCTGGGCTCTTCCTCTTCGCTCGCTGGCGTATTTGGTTCCCAGGCTGATGGGTGCAGATTTGGAAATGGGGTGAGGAGAGGAAGGTGGAGAGAAATGGATAAAGAGCTGCCATTCAGGGTCTCCTGGTCTGTGTGGGCCTCTCCAAGGTCCCGTCCTGCCGCCACACCCCAGGAGGACAGTCCTGGATGGGCAGAGGCCCTGGGCTTCTGCTGGGGAGGCACCGCGTCCAGCTTCCGAGGGGAAGACCTCCCCGCCCATTGGTTCTCCCCTCCCTTGGAACGCTGCCCTTCACCCTTTGTTCACTAGCCCACCTTTCTCTTGGCATCTGGGGCAAAGGAAAATAAGGCTGGGCGTTGTCTGCTCAGCCATCACTGCCACGCTCAGATGGCATGTGTCCACGTATAGTTTATGAACATTTTTATGATCCGTGACTTAAATTTGCACATCAATATATCCATGTGTCTGCAGCCTCAGTTTCCTTGTTTCTAAAATTTCAGGAAGCACACTGACATGTTTCCCAGAGTCGTTACCGTGACGGCAAAACCAGATCGAGGATGTGAAGCCAACTGTAAACTGTAACGTGATCGACAGCATCTCCACCTTCACTGAACGCTCACCACGTGTCAGCTCGTGCCTCGTGTGCATGACTTCATTGACTCCTCATCACCAAGGCTATCTCATGAATCCTTTCATGGTAAATACCACCCACCCCCATTGACAGATAAGGCATCGAGGCCCAGGGAGGTCAGGCAGATGTGCTCAGAGACAGGAGTCACTGAAACAGCCGTGCTGGGAAGTGGACCAGGCCCGCTGACCCCGAGCCACGCTCGTCACCTCCGCACTCAAGTGGTTATTGCTGTAAATAATGAGGAAGCTGGAGGCCTGCAGATCTATATTACGTCTGCCTCTGCCTCTGCGAGGGCGGGAGGCAGCTGCTCCGAGGCCGGGGCTGGTCTGGGGTGGCGGCTGGACCATGGAGGGGCGTGGCTGCAGATGGGGGGAGGTTGAGAGGTTGGCCGAGGGCAGGGAGCCTGGTTCCAGGCACTGAGAACAGCCCACTCTCCACTCTGTCCTGCCTAGTCTCTGGGCCCCCGGCTGCCATGGACCAAGGCTGTGTGCAAGCAGGCAAGCAGGGAGGCGCCACAAAATGCCCTGCTGCCTTCTGGCCTCCATGTGGCTGCAAGAGGCAGGGAGCTGGAGAGTTCCAGAGGGACAAGGTTGGGGGAGGAGGAGTGAGGGGAAAGGAGGAGCCGGATTAATCGTTCATCTCTTGCTCTTAGGGCTCCTTCGGCTCCCCTCATCCGCCCAAACCGTCCAGACTCCAAAGGCTCACATCCTCAACACCGATCGTGCGCCCTCCAAACAAACCAGTCAGCTCCCCTGTCATGTGGTTCTCCCTCACTGACTTGCAAGCTTTCTTAACCAGGTACTCCTCCATTGATGTTCTCCTCTGCCAGGAAGCCTTCTTTGATTGAATCAAGCCACCGGATGCCATGCTAAGTCCTTGTTCCTGTACTATCCAGGGGCTTGGTCGGCCTGCACTCATCTCTATTTCTCCATCTCTGTGCTGGGCTAAGAGCAGGAAGGGAGAGGAGTATCAGCGCCCCCTCACGGGACAGGTGTTCTCCAGCTCAGAAGTACACCTTCCAGGACCCACGCCGAGGCAGTTAGGGAGGGGGGAAAAGCAGAGAGAAGGTCTCGTAAGAACCTCATGTTCCCTCAGAACGCCTGGACCAGCGCGGGGGCTCATACCCTCTTCAGCGAGGGACAGAAGTTGATGTCTTGGCATCCCCTGCCTCCCCCCGGCGGTCAGCTGACTCCCGTTCCCTCGCCTCCATCCTGCTCCCTGCTAATTCTGCCCATTTTGTCCCCACCGGAGAGGAAAAGCATGTCATCCAGCAGCCTTGAGTGCTAGTCCCGCAGGGCCTGTACATCCAGAGACACTGGCTGTCGGTCCCTCCAGTCCTCACTTGTCCTGACACCTCACATCTGTCCAGACCTTCACGGTTTACACCTCCCTGCTCAGGGAGCAGCAAAGCGGCAGTTGCTAAGAAAAGGCTGGCATCACTATGCCACGTGACCGAGGACGCTGCTGTCCGCAGGTCATGGCCGCTTCAGGGTCGTGATGCCAAGACAGCCCAGGTCTCTCGACTCCCAGGTCACCCGCAGGCGACCTGTCCCATTCTCCCCCTTCTCCCCCATGTAGACACCTTCCTTGTGCCCAAACTCATTCATCTCACTTGTCTCAGGGCCCCTCCCCTTCCTCCCACCCCTCCAGGGGGCGTCCCCCACTTCAAGGATTTCAGGGTTGGGGAGAGAAAAAGAGAGGGAGCAGGAGAGATCAGATGGAGGCAGGAAAAAGGAAAGGGGCAGAGGTGAAGACAGAAGGGAAGAAGGAGGGTCACAGGCAGGCAGAGCCGAGCCGGAGACAGAGCACAGCAGAAGCAGGGCCCAGCCGGGCACCAGAGCTGGAGGGAGACAGAAAGACGGATGGAGCCAGAGGTACCGCCAGGGAGGTAGCAGGGTGGCGGGTGGGGGTGGCGGGTCAGAGCTGGCCTCATTCCTGTACTGTGTGCAGGACAGAATCCCCTCATTATGCAAATGGCCCCGGATGTTACCATAGAGGGACATCTGCTCTGTGCCCCATGGGCGGCAGCTGGGGGCAAGGCTTCCTCCAGAGGCCCCCGCCCCACCCCCTCCTCAGTTCTCAGCCCTCAAGGCCCATTCCTTCCAGTCCTGCTCCCCTGTTCCCTGAGGAGGCCTGAGGTGAAGCCAAGGAGGAGGGATGAGTGCCGAGGGTGGAAACGAGGCAGCGAAGAGGAGGAGGGGCTGAGTATGGAGGAAAAGGAGCCAAGGGGGCAGTTTCTTGGGCTCCGAGGCAGCAGAGAAGGAGAGGAAGGGAGTCGCCTTCTCACCGACAAGTCCATCTGCTGGGAGAGGCCGGGGTGTCCATCACCCCAACTCGCCTCCACTCTGGTGGGGAGCGCCTATGGCCACAAGGCGGAGCCCAGTCCCTGTGACCTGGGCACAGGCTGGGGCCGACAGGATGCCAGAGCTCGCACACCCCACGTGTCCCACCAGTGCGCGCCCACGTGCCCGTCTTGCTCTCTTCTGTCTGAACTTGGCTTTGGGAAAAGTTTACAGGATCTGGGGAGGGAAAGCTAGGGAGATAGTAGGGGCAGACAGGAAGCCAGGAACAGAGAGAGAGAGGCTGGGAAACGAAAGAGAAAACTGGAGAAGCGGGGGCAGCCAGGGCAGCAACAGAAAGAGACAGGAGGAGGCTGGGGGCCCTGCAGGAGGTGGGGGTCATTACTGAGCACGGTGAGCTTGGCTCGCCGGGAGCGCAGGGCGGCCTCCGTGGCCTGGCACTCGTAAGAGGCGTCGTCAGAGAGCTCCGCATCTGCGATCTCCAGGTTGTGCTGCCCGGCGTCCGCGGAGCCCACGACCCGGTACCGCGGCCAGGCTGCAGGAACAGAGAGGGCGAGCTAGGGAATCAGCCTGGACCACCCAGCCCCCAAGGGTGCACCCTCTTCCCACGTCAGGGTCCGCATCCCATCTCGGGGCCCGCACTCCTCCCTCCACCCGCTCCTGGGACCCCACGGGCCCTTGACAAGGATGAGGTCCCCACGCAGACACCGCGATGCCACAACCTCCCACAGTGAGGCTGGGAGCCATAAAGCAGGAGGAGCGATGGGGGAGAGCGGAAGAGGGAGTTGAGCAGGAGCAGATGAAATCTCCGAAGCTGTTTGCAGACAAATGTCTCTCATAATAATAGGAAAGAAAGGGGAAAAAAAGGCAGACAGCAGGGAGAAACAGAGAGGGAGGGGGAGGGTGTGTGGGCGCTAGGAAATATAGGCCATCTCAGCGCAGACATGAGCTCACTGGGGCCAGAGGGAAGCCCAGGGCAAGCTACGGTCTCACCCTCACTCACCCAGGGAAGGTCCTGCCAGCCCCCCAAAGGAGCCCCTAAACTGAGTCAGTCCCCTGCAGAAGCCGTGGCTACAGTGGGCGCACCTCCGAGCCTCTGGCCTCTCCATCCTCCCTCCTGCGCCCCTCTTCCCACTCCTCCTTGCCCCTCTCTAGTACCCCTCTCTCCTGGTCCTGGCACCAGCTCCCTCCCACCAGCTCCCTCTGTCCAGAGGCTATTGATTCTTCTCACTCCATATCTATTGATCTCTCTCTTTCCCAGTTTCTTTCTGTTTCTATCATCAATAGATCCACCAGCCCCATCTCTTTCCTTCGTACAGATTGCTCTATACAGACAAATTTCCCCCACCTGTACTAAAACACGGAGCCCACAGCAAATAATCATCTCAGCCCCCAGAACAAGAAGAAGAAGAAAAATAGACAATCTCCCCCCTGCTTTTATCATCACACCGCCTTACAGTGAACACTGTTCTCACGAGGCACGTTCTCTCATTTGGCTCAAACCTCACCAACACCTTGATCAGGCAGGCGGACCTGTGACTCATGCCTGTTTCACACAGGAGTAAATGAAGGCCCAGAGAGGTGAGGTGGC